AGGAGTTTACGAAAAAAAAAAAAAAAAAAAAAAAAAAAAAAAGAGAAGAAGAAAGAAAATATAAATTAAATAAAAAAAATAGTGAAAGAGAATTAATGGAAGAAAGTAGTTTGAAATTTATACTTAAAAAATTGTGTAAACCAGATTATATGATAGGGAGTCCATATCTTACCAATCTATATCTCTTCCGAATCTTCCTCCATAGCTTCTGCATATCAATCCTCCGCCATTCGCCCCTTCCTCCACCAAGCACCTAAATTCAAAAGCGAAAGCCACCGAATCATAACCACGTGATTGCATAAACAACACTTCTGGAACGAAAATTTTAAAATTAAAATTTCAAAAAATCAAGTAGTAACGGAAAATAAATAAGAAATGATCAGCAATTATTTTCCAAAAAAAAAAAACACACAATCACTACTACTTCACATCCTTATTTTGCACCTATTTCAGAACAAAAGAAATTAAGTTGTAACAAAAATTATCTTCTTGAAAAACAATTACATATTTTAAAAATTACTTTCCATAATTACACCGACGTATAATCGCTTGAATCACGACCTACCAATCCTTATTCTACCGCCTATCAGTAGTAACAAAAATAAAAAATAAAAAATATATTGGTAATTACCTTTAGAGAGAAAAAAAAAACATTTTTTTATTCTAAAAATTAATTTTCAAGACTATAAGTTTAATGAACACAACATAGTTTTCGAAAATACCTTTTAGAATTCGCGATTCTCTTTCCCGAAAATATTTTTCTATAGTACTTACAGCAGGTACGGATCTACGTTGATCAGAGTGGGCACTTGCTTCCACTACAATTATATATATATTTTTTATTTATTTATACGTATATAATTTTTATTAAAAAATAATATATTTTAAAAATAAAATTTATATTTTAGTAATATATATATATATATTGAAATTATAGTATATAAAATATAAATTTGAATAAAGTGTTTATTTATCTAATATTTGTCAAATTTTTGAAGAAAATTAGTTTTTATATGTGATAAGGAATTTTTAAAAAAATTTAATTATAATATATATACATATATAATGTAATATATTAAAAAATTAATTTTTAATAAAATAAAATTTGCAGCATGTATGTTTACCTTTTATACTTTCAATTTATTGTATATGTTGATTAAAAAGATTAAAATAGTAAAGATAATGAGATTGTAAATGTTGATTAAAAAAATCAAAATAGAAAAGGTTAGAAAATTTATGTTCTATTTAGAATTTTTATTATAAAATATGTTTTAAAATAAATTATCATCTAAAAACTTATATCATATATTAAAAACATGTTTATATCATAAATAAATCAAACTTGATTTTTATAAGATTTAACATATTTATTTTTATATTTTTATTAGTGTTAAATTATTATAAAGTAGGTTTTTATGATTGTAGTTCTAACCAAACATTTAAAAAATGTCTATGATAGATAAATAAGTCATATTTAGGACATGTATTTTTAAAGAAAGTTAAGTTCAAACTTATTAAATTATAATATAACCTAGTTTAACCTATTTTTTTTTTATCCTTAATCGTAATCATAGATATAAAAACTTGTAAAAATAATTATGATATATTTATACTTTTAAAAGTTATATGTAAAAATTTTAACATTACAAATATATGAATAAATTTTGCCCCCACTATCTAAAGTTTCTGGATCCGTCATGATTATGTCATTAAGACAATTAGATTAAAATAAAAAAATTCTTAATCCTAGTTAAGATTATATTAAGAAAACAATAATCACAAATGAGGTTCAAAGATCCAAAAGTCCAATAAGATTATTATAAATAAATGATACATCAAATGATAGATATTATTCATTATTTCATTGTTCACCCATTAAATAGTATTTATTATTCTATTCTGAATAGTTACCTGATTGTTGGAGTGTCATTGTAGGTACCTACACTTGTAAAGAAGGATCGAGATTGCATGTAGAAATAATCCAAGAAATTGTGAAAAAAACTTGAATGTATCAGTTAGAATATATGATAATATATTCTGACTTATTATAATATTTATTAAGCGTATATTTAGTTCCTTATTTATAGTTAATTAGTTTCCTAATTCTAGCTGAATTATACTCTGTATAATGTGTATATAAACGGATGATGATAATGGAATGGATCAAGGAATTATCCTTTTTTATGGTATCAAATTTCCTACGGAAAGATCCTTCACTTTTTCACTGGCTTCCGCTCACAGCCCTAGCGTCGTTCTACCCCTATTTCTTTGTCTTCTTCATCTTCCTATCAACCGCCATGTCTGACTCAAAATCTTCCTTTCACCCTGCTCTTGCTGTATCCAACATCAGGAACCACATACCCATCACTTTTGAGATGGAAAATGTCCAATACACGACATGGGCAGAACTCTTCAAAATTCACGCAAGATCCCATAAAGTAATTGATCATATTATTCCTCCAGCGAAAAGTAAGGAGAAAATTCCTCAGACAGCGGAGGAGCAAGAATTATGGTCGACCCTTGACGCTACCATTCTTCAGTGGATTTATGCCACTATTTCTCATGGTCTTTTACGTACCATTCTTGAACCTGACACCACGGCAATGGAGGCTTGGAATAGATTATGTGACATATTCCAAGATAACAAACACTCTCGTGTCGTTACCGTTGAGTATGACTTCACTCACACAGACATGGCAGATTTTCCAAATGTCTTTGCATATTGTCAACATCTCAAATCTCTGTCAGATCAACTCAAGAATGTCGGCTTTCCCATCGACAACAACAGACTTGTTCTTCAACTGGTCTCTGGTCTCACCGAGTCCTACAACGATGTGGCCACCCTTATTCGCCAAAGTGATCCCTTGCCCCAATTTTATCAAGCCCATTCGATGCTCACTCTTGAAGAGGCCGGCCTTGCCAAAAAGGCGGTGTCGCAACCTAAATTTTTTCGATCTCGCGACCTATGGTTTAGACATCATTTTAAAGATCTCATCAATTAAGGAATGCCCGGACACCAGACTAATCCTAAATTGATGGTTTTGAAAATAAGTTCTATGGAGTCGCCACCAATGTTTTACTCAAAACATTGAAAAAAGAAAAGGTTTTTAAAGATCCAATAATGGTCTTGATAACCAGAATTGAGTTCGGGGGTCGGTTACGTGTAAACAGAATTGGGTTCGGGGGTCAGTTACGTGTAAGGAAGGTATTAAGCACCCCTACAACACCCTTAATCGGTACCCTATGACGAAGTTAATATTATAAACAATAATAATATAAATATTAAATCCCTTTTATTAGTAAATATTTACATGCTTGAAATTTAAATTAAACAATTAACTTTAAAATATCTACATGATTGCTTTTATTATAAAAAATATTTATCAAAAATAAGAAATAAAAGAGGGAGCAAAAAATTAGCTGAAATACCTCTTGAATGAGCTCTATTAATCTTCAAATATGGAAATTCAGGTGCTTTGTGGCAACCTTTCACATTACAATGCCTCACAAAATCTCAAGAAATACAAAAGAGAGAAAGAGAGAGAAAAAGAGAGAAATTTCGAGCCCCTAAGGAGTCTAGACGAATTTTTGGGGTTTGGAGAATTGTGGCCGAGATTTCTATTTATAGGCATCAGATGTGGGCCGGAACGGCCCGTTCTAGATTTGGAACGGACCGTTCCAAATCTGAACGTTATGTATAATTTTTGTACCCTAGAACGGCCCGTTCTGAAATCAAAACGGCCCGTTCTGGGGAACCAGAAGTGCCCGTTCTGAAATGAGAATGGCCCGTTCTAGAGTACAAATTTTACCCCCTTTGATTGGTTTGGAACGGCCCGTTCTGGTCTAGAACGGCCCGTTCCAACCTACAAATTTTAAGCCCTTTAAAAGCCTCAGAACGGCCTGTTCCAATTCGAGAACGGCCCATTCCAGACTTGGGAACGGCCCATTCCGGTTTTGGAACGGCCCTTCCGGGCCACTGAAAAAAGTTTCTTTTTGGCCCTCTGATATCCTATCTTTTGTTTGTATGCCCCCCGGACGAAATTGGGTGTCTACAGCTGCCCCTCTTTGCTTGTCTTTTGGAATAGCTGTGTTGCTTTTCTAAAGGCAAGTAAAGACGTAGACATTTTGTCCGGGTCTTCATCTCGTCTCTGTGTTGATGCTTCTACATTGCTTCCCTTGGATAGGTGTATTTGCTCGTATCCTCACCCTTTAGAGTAGTTGAGCATTGGTTGCGTACTCTATTGGGTAACAAGGTTGACAAATTGTACACCTGATCTTCAGTCTTCGAGTAGAAGCTCCATTGTTTCTCTTGTGATAGTGAGGTGAAAACTCAGTTCTTCACTCTTGTTTTGACAATAGATACACGTTGTTTCCTTCGGGTAGACTGTGTTCCCTATATCTTTGCTTCTTGGAGCAATTAAGTGTTGGGTTGTATGCTCTGTTGGGTGTCAAGGATGGTAAACCGAAACATCTAGGCTTCAAGATCCATGTGAATGCCCTATGTCGCTTGTTGTGTCTGAATCTTTTCTTTTACTTCAATAGTGTAGATGGCCCCCACACCATTTCCTTCGGGTAGATGGTTCTTACCTGTATCCTTGCCCCTAAGAGCAGTTGAGTGTTGGTTTATATGCTCCGTTGAGTGATAAGGATGGTAAACTTGTACCATCTAGGCTTCTGGCTTTGATGTTGATACATCCTACTGCTTCTGCTTGCTTCATGATAGTGTGTTCCTTTACTTGTAGCATGTTAAAGAGGGAGTATATTCTGAGCTCAGTCTCTCCAGGCTAGACTGATATTTAGGGCTTCAGCCAACCCACTCTAAAGGTAGGTAACCCTCTTTGTTGTGGTAGTATTTTTGTAGCCTCTCCAGGCCGTAGTATTTTCGTAGCCTCTTCAGGCCGTAGTATTTTCGTAGCTTCTTCAGGCCGTAGTATTTTCGTAGCCTCTCTAGGCCGTCTGCTGATGGTGTGTTATTGTGCCGGCCTCTCCAGGCCGCCTGCTGATATTGTGAGTGTTCCTACCGGAAATCCACCGTAGGGGTGATCTCTCGAGTAAGGTCGGTGAGCCTCCTTCGCTGGTACGTTGATGCTCCAAGATGGGGGTGGTACCTGCAAAAGAGACTTCGATGCTAAAGTTAGGGTTTGTATGAGTATAAGTCTCGTATATAATGCACGTACCTTATCGTGAATTAGGGTTGTTATGGGCTCTGGGCCTGAGATAAGATGTGATAAAATTAGATAATATATCTCATTTGGGGCGAGATTCTCTGAGATCAGTTATGATCTACTTAGGTGTCGAGCTGACGTCATATAGCGCGTGCCCGAGGTCCTTTTGTGCTATGGAGCCGAGCTTGGAGCTCGGCTTTGCGGTACGAATAGTACACTAGCCCCCCGAGCTCTGAAGACCGTAGGTCGAGGAGTTAAGTCTGAGCTTGTCAAGTGGTCGTGACCTTTCGCGTATGCTTGCTTGTTGGGGTGCTACGTGTCACCCCTGTTGCCTTTGTTTTTGGAAACGTGCAGGTGATGTGGTGACAAGATTACATTTTTGCTTGTTCGATGATGCGACCTTTTTGGGCCGATGTGGTGTTTTGACGTCCATGTTTCATGGTCGGGTTGAGGAGCTCAACAATAATGAGCTTACTGCTCGGTTAGGTTGGTGAATTTTTGGCCGGGTAAGGTCGGTGAGGGACATGTCGACAGCTCGGCTGGCCAGTACATTTGCCCCCATCTAAGCGCTGAGTGATGTAAGAGTGAAGGGGCCTCTAAGGAGCTCCCGAATTTGTTGTTTGAAGGTGTAATTTTGACCTTGTTAAGTAGATGTGATCTTCAAGGGTCGAGCCCGACTTTGTTTAGGAAAGTGTGGTCTCAAGGTTCGTACTCGACCTCGGTATAACAAGGTTCGAACTCGACCTTGGTCAGTTGTCACGGTTGATGTGTTAATACTAGGAATGTATGGGTGTGTGGTTGCTTCTTTGATTGTTTCTGAGGTATGTCTCGTTAAAACTTTCCTCAGCTCAGAACCCATTTCTTTGGTGGGAGAAAAGGCTGAGGCGGGAAAAGAGTACATCACCTGAATTTACAAGTTAAGAGAAATGTCTTTTGAGGTGGGTGGCATTCCGAGTTCCGCATTTCCTTCAGAGGGGGTTAAGACAGAGCTCAGAGTTCGGTTTCATAATACGGATAGTGCTCTAGCTCCCCGAGCTCTGAGGATCGTAGGTCGAGGAGCTAAGACCGAGCTCATTGGAGGGAAGTAGCTTGTCGCGGACGCCTGTCCGTTAAGGTGCCGTGTGACATAATTGTCGCTTCTCGTTTCGGTAACCGAGGCCGATGCACTAATGGGTGCGGCGGTTATGCAATGATGGTTTCTTTTGTCATAATGGGTCTCATTTAATGCGTGATCAGGTGTGTCCCTTGGGTGACACGTGTTATGGTCGTTTGAATTTTGAGAGACCTTTTTCTTTGTCTCGCGCCTCTTCCCCTTTTTACTTTGTTCATTTTTCACTCTTTCAACTTCTTGTGCGTGTTGTTTCTTTTGTTCTCCTGTTCGTCTTCCATCTTAGTTCCTTCCGTTTCTGCCGTCGTTTCTGGTAACCCCGTCGTTGTTAGGGTTATTTTCTGAAGAGGAGTACCAGGTACTGCCTTTCTACTATTTTCTCCTTTCCCCTTTTACCTAAATCTTCCTCGAGTCTTTTTGTTTCTTTTGATGGCTGGTGGGAGTGGCGCTGGTTCTTCTGTGTCTGCCAAGGGCAGGCCGCGTGGTAAGGCGGTGGCTGCTGGGGTGGCTGCCGCCGATAAGAAAGACCCGCCTAAGGACCTTGTTCCGGGCATCCCTGGCTATGATTGGGTTAAGCGTGAGATGGCGGGGGTTCAAAGCGTTTTCCGTTCTCTTCTTGAGGTTAACGGGATCCCGAGGTTGTGTAGGATTTGTGATCCTTCTGTGTCCCAGATGATCCGGCTTGAACCTTGTCAAGCTGGTGAGGGTGTGTATATGGGGAGGTCTACAGACCCTCCCTATTTTTACATGTACTACTGTTTTTTCAGGGATTTGGGTGTCTGTCTTCCCTTTACTCATTTTGAGTGTAATTTTTTGAACCGCATCAACGCAGCTCCTTGCCAGTTGCACCCCAATAGTTGGGGTTTTTTGCGGGCTTTCCAAGTCCTCTATACAGTTTTAGGGATAGAGGTGTCTCTTCCCGTCTTCCTTCATTTTTATCAGTTGAAGTTAGGCGTTCCCCCCTATGGCATATTGTCGTTGAATGGGGGTAGGGATGGGGGCTTGTTCACCTTCTACTCCCAGTCTTACAAAAATTTCAAACAGGAGTTTTTCCGGGTCGTTCTTGTGGACTTTGACCCGATGGAGGATGGGGCTTTTTACTTCGGCGGTTTGTCGAGGTTCCCCTTCTATTGGTGCCCCAAACCGTCTAGGTTTCACGGGGAGGGCCACTTACAATTGACGGCTGCGGAGTTGGCCGCCATTGACAATATTAAGGCGCTTCCTCGGCCGCTAGATTGCAAGCTTATTCTGTCGCTTGAGAATTCGGCGCACAGGGAGAGAGGCCTGGAGCGTGAGTATTCTGTGTTTTGGCGGTTTGTTAGGGATTGAGTTTTAGGGTTTCTTGGCTAATATGTTGATGTATCCTGTTTTGCAGGCATTATGGGGAAGAACGTGTGGAAAGAGCTTAAGCACCACTACAACGTTGCTGAGCTCGAGGTTCTCGAGCCTCAAGAAGGGAGTGTTCCCCCCCGGAGGTCAGCCGGAAAAGAAAGAGGGGGAGGAAGGAGGTTGGGGGGACCTCCGCTCGTCCAAACGTCGAGGAGGTGACCTTTAAGGCGGCTGATGCTGACGCGGTGGATCTGACTGAGAGTCCACCGGCCCAGGAGGCCTCTCAGGTGGCTACTGAGAGGGTAGCTCGGGCTGCTACGCCTGTTGTTCAAGCTGCCGAGGTGGCAACTCTGGCTGCTGAACAGGTTGCCCCTTCTGCTGAGGTAAGTATCTTATTTCCTTGTCCATTTCTTTTGAGTGGACTTTGCTTGAGTTATTGAGGCGATGTGATTTTTTGTAGGTCGGGGTAGCTGCCGAGGTAGAAGCTCGGGTTGCTGAGCGTGTAGCTCAGGTGGCCATGGTGAGTATTCCTCATTTGAGTGTTTCTATCCATTCGGCCGATGTATTGTTGTTTTGTTGTTTGACAAGGGCCCATTTTTGTAGGGGGGAGGTGCTGCTGAGACCTCGGTTTCTCTGAGGCTGGAGGTTTTTGAAGCGGATCCTCCTGTTGCTGAGGATCGTGGCGAGGGGCTGGGCTCGGAGATCCCATCGGCCATGCCCGCTATGTCTGCTCCCTTCCCGGGTTCGTTCCAGGGGGCTTCCCGAAGCTGATATCTTGCTCATCGCTTCGGGAAGGATCGCTCCGATGTGAGGTTAGACCATGTTAGCGCCTCTGCTGACATGGATTCATTATGGAGTGCGGGGGTGACCACCGAGAAGTTCTTCCCCAGCGGCTCGCTGAGCGCTGGGGACCAAGAATTGATAGAAGGGGTTGGGCCTATGGAGAGCGTTGATGCTGCTCAAGTCCTTTTGCAGAGGGATATGGCCATTATGAGCCACTAGAAGCATAGGTGGTCCAAGCAGCAGGAGGAGCTAGATAAACTGAGAAGCCAGGCTCAGCCCTAGAAGGAGGCGAATAAGATCTTGAGGGAGGAGAATAAAGTGTTGAACGCTGCCTTGAGCGAGGCGAAGGCGCAAGGGGCCGAGCTCCATTCTGTGAGGAGTGACTTTGCAAGGGTGCAGAAATCTCTTGAGATCGCATTACGATCCAACGAGGTTTATGCCTCCCAGGTGGGGGAGCTGTTGGAGCTCATCGCCTTCTCTTGTAGTCGCGCCCGCTCTTTGGAGGATGAGGTGACGGCTTCCCGTGTCCAAGTGCGGGCATTGGAAGAGGTTGTGACTTCTCTTAAAGGAGAGATGGGGGAGGCGGCTGAGGAGCGCCTCCGTAGCGAGGCCATTCTTGGTGGTCGGGAGGAGGAGATTGCGTCTTGGAGAGCGGAGCTGGAGGCGGGAAAAATGGCTGTGGAGAAGAGATTGGCAGAGGTCGAGCACTCTGTTGTGGTGGAGCACAAGAAAGGCTTCCTCAAGGCTGCTCGCCAGGCCAGGTTCCTCGTGCCTGGATTCGACTTCTCCGCCATGCATGTGGAGAAGGTAATCCGCTTCGGGAAGCTGGTCAAAGAGGATGACGTCGATGATAGCTCTAGTGAGAATGCCTCCGCCTAGGCCGCCTTGTGTAATAGCTTAATTTATTTTCTCTATTCAAATTTTTCTTTTTTCTTTTTGGATTATGTACTTAACTCTGCAAATATTTTTTGTATACATACATATCTTGTGTTTATTCGCTGTTGTGATTTTCTTTAACTTTGCGTTTTGCTTTGAGTTCCTCCTGTTTGCACGATTTGAGAGGACGCTCAGTACTTTGTTGTGTGTAAATATTTGTGGTGTTTAGACCTGACTTGGGGGATAGTGGTTTGCTCCATGGGTCAAATCCGACTTTGGGTGAGGTTGGGATGTTTCGATGTGAGATTCGGACTTGACCTCGAATGGGCTGTACCCCGGTTCGTGATTGATCTTGAATTGATTAAACTGAGGTTCGAACTGGACCTTGTGTTTTTGTTGTGGGGATCCAAATTTTGATTGTTGATCGCTGTTGGATAATTTTGTGTGGGGATATCTGTTGCAAAGTTTTGTATGAGGGTTCGAACTCGTCCCTGTTTATCTCGAGGTTCGAGTTCGACCTTAGATAAATATTTGGGGTTCTGCCTTTACTTCAAATTAGAGCCAAACAGGGTGTGTCGCGACCTCGGGGGGCGCGTTAAGGTTCGTGTTTAACCTCGGATTACCATATTGAGGTTCGTGGTCGACCTCGGTGTAACATACTGAGATTCGTATTCGATCTTGATTTGGGTCTTGTTAAGGCTCATACTCGACCTTAAATTAATACGTTGAGGTTCGGACTCGACCTCGGGTAATCGTAAAATGATTCAATTAAGGTT